GGTTGTTGTTAGAAGTTAGAAGGGCTTACGCAGATGGGTGGTTTGGCGAGAAGAGTGCATTGGATTCGTCCACGTTCGATGTGATCGACCTTGATGAAGTTCCTAAGGAAGTGGTCGTAGAAGCCACGCGCATTGCAGTTACGAGGTACAGGAATTGCAGCCCCCATAGCTTCAACGAAGTGCAAGGTGTTGGAAGCACATTTGGGGTTAACTTCCTTCGAGACTTTCAGCCATGGCGAGGCGCACACACTCTCTGCTTTCCCTTTCGAACCCATACCTAACACTCACATAAATTCTCTCATCCTCTATGTCATAACCATGTTTCTCTTCACATTTTTTTTTTTTTTTACTGTGAAGAGTTAATCAGATTTTTTTTATCAAAATAAAATAAAATACTGGTAATAAAAAAATAAACAAATAAACTAATTATCATTGTACATGATTTTTGTTGCGTGACAGAAATAAAAAAAGGTTCTGCGGATGGTGAAAGACTCTAATAAGACAAAAAAATTGAATGATTGACACATAGGAAAATTGAGCGTTTCGTGGCTCTAACACATGTTTGCATGTAGGGATAGACCCTTGTCGAAGGGACAGGTCGCTGACCAAGTGACGTAGGGAGCCTCCTGTGTGTTGTGTTTATGCAGGTAGCGCATAAGGCTCCTGCGCTTTGTGTTGCACCCCCCTTCTTTTCCCATTAAAAACTAAGTAAAAATGGAATAATCTTAATGTAAAATCAAAAGGGGGAGTTTGTCAAAAAGGGAATTTATTAAATCAAAAGAGAATCTTAAATCTCTTCGAGAAGCTATGAATTTTTATGATAACAAATAACGAGAAGCTATGAGTTTTTTTTATAACAAACAATTTTTCCAAGAAACTATTTCACACGAAGCAAATGTCATATTTTGTCTGCAAGACGAAGTGCATGATCTATATTAATGATACATTTATTTTTTGTTAAAAAGTTAGATCATTCTTTAAGAAGCATTAATATTGTATTTCTTAACAGATTGAATGAGAAAGCTTCCTCGAAGAAAAAGAATATTTGCATAAAGGAAATGTCAAATCATTGTGTCAGGAAAGAAAGAGAAAATCCTGGATTACATGGAAAAGATACTGCAAAGATTATTTTGTGCTGACACTACACTGCCACACTCAAAATAAAAGGAAATGATGAAAAGTAGTTAAGAGATACACGCCTTAATATTATATTTCTAGGACCAGCAAAGAAGACAAACAAAGCAACTTGTAAAGAAACTTTAACGTTTAAATTCAATGTTCCTGTAACGATCATCTTCTATAGAATTACTATTTAAGGATCAAGCCTTCTCATTACAATGTGTGAAGAGAGGAACAAGAGAAGAGAGCAAGTAGTGAAAGAAGAAAAGAATACACTTTCAAAGAAAAGTGTTGTGCACAAAAGTCCAACATATACTAAGCAGCTCACTCACATCAGACATTTTGAAAACAAAGTTGAAGTGTTACAAAGAAGATTTTCATTAAAAATCTTGTATATAGTTCTTTGTAGTCTTTTCGTGTTGTATTTGATAACATCACATCTAGAAGAGACGAAGTTATAATTGTAACTCTTATTTGTAAAGGTTGAGCCTGGAGAGACTTGTGTAAAAGAATACTTAGTGGTTAAGCCTAGAGAGACTTGTGCAAAAGAATACTTAGTGGTTGAGTTTAAAGAAACTTGTTGAAAGAATACTTGGATTTGAGCTTTGAGAGGTTTGATGAAAGAATACTTGGTATTGAGCCAGAAGTGGTTTGTGTAAAGAATACTTGTATCTTGTTCAAGCTAGTGAAACTCAATCTAGTTGGATTGAGAACTGGATGTAGTCTCTGGATTTGAAACGAACTAGTATAAAATACTTGTGCCTCTTCATTTGTTGCCTAACAGTATTTCGCCTGTTGTTTTCCAGTACTTCATCTGTCACTGTATCTATCACTTCACTACATTATAAAAACGCAAATTTTTGATATACACTATTCAACTCCATTCTAGTGTATATCTTTTTCTCCAACACGTAAACATTCTTATATGTTCTATTTATAAGGAAAAAACTTTGTAACCTTTAGCATGACCGTAGTGTTCAAATAACACAACCATGCTTATCAAGTATGGTTTTGCTCCTTTTTAAATTGAACATGCTTCAAGACCAACACCATCATACTATAGTGAAACATGATCATGCTTCATAAGTTGGGGCGTCTTTTTCATCGACATGAGCATTCTTCCAAGGTGTGCTTTTAGTGGAGCATGGTCATAGCATGACCTAAGCCCAATCGTACTTCATTAGTTTTAGGTGTGTAATCCAACAGAATTATGTTTAGAGCTAGCACGATAATGCTACATCTTTTAGCTCATTTCCAAGTCATAATTGTCTCTTTGTCCCAATTTCACGATTTTGGCATCAATAGTTGTTTGTTGCACGCTTAACATAAAAGATGAGTTATTTTAACAAATTTATGCATTAAGTGAGATAACACAAGTAATTTTTAGCACTTTAAAATGCAACATATAAATGTTTAATAGTTACTAAGCAAATCTTGCAATTATTACCATGTGAATTCATAATGGTAGTATAAAGTAGTAGAATTTTCGTTTCTTTATCTTCATGGTTGGTAATAGAAATGGGAATAGATTACATCATGCTAGATTTTGAATATATAAGTTATGTTTGTTGTATAAAATTAAAGTACAAGTTTGACCTAACCTATTTAAAAACCTAGCTATTAGCTTATTTAAAAGTTTATCTATTAGTCTATTTAAAAGTTTATTTTACATTAATTTTAAATAAGTCAACAAATATTTTTAAATATGCCTATGATTTTTTTTAAAATTTTCATGATAAAAAAATGATTTTTTTCATTATTATTAAAATTTAGGTTTTACAGAAAAAAAATATTAACGTAAGAATTTTCAAAACTAACATAAATTTTAAATAAATAAATTTTTTAAAAGGTTAAATCTGAATTTTTTTTATTAAATAAGATAATTTTTAAGCAAACAAAATCATATGTCTAACTTATTTTTATCTTAGTTGGTAGTCTTATTATATGTGAATTTTTAACGTAAATAATATTTTTTTTTAAAAAATTTACCAAAATAACACCTGTGCAACTTTATTTACACAACTAGAACCATTTACTGTTCACACTCAGAATTCGGTTTCCCGAAAACCGAATTCTGAGCTTCAAATTTTTTTTTTCTTTTTTTTGTGCTCAGAATTCGGTTCCCGGGAAATCGAATTCTGAGTTATTTTTAATTTTTTTTTTTTTTGGTTTATGGCTGATTTTCCGCGAGTGTGGGAAGTGGAACGGGCCGTTCTGGAAGCAGAACGACCCGTTCTGCTTAAACACATGGAGTGTTTTTTTTAACATTAGAACGGGCCATTCCAATTAAAAAAAAAAATACTCTATGTGTTTAAGCAGAACGGGCCGTTCTGCTTCCGGAACGGGCCGTTTTACTTCCGGAACGGGCCGTTCTGCTTCCCAGACTTGCACAAACTAGCAGAAAACGCTAAAAAAAAATTAAAAACAACTTAGAATTCAGTTCCCCGGGAACCGAATTCTGAGCAGAAAAAAAAGAAAAAAAAAATTTGAAGCTCAGAATTTGGTTCCCGGGGAACCGAATTCTGAGTGTGAACAGTAAACGGTTCTAGTTGTGTAAATAAAGTTGTACAGGTGTTATTTTGGTAAAAAAATTTTAAAAAAATATTATTTACCTAAAAAATTCTATTATATGTATCTTGGAGATGATTGTTAGCATGACCTGACTAGCTGAGAGATTGGACTCACGTCACCTTCTGGACCTCAGTTCGGCAAAAGTGTTGCCATAAAAATCTGAAAAAGAGGAAAAATGCTGAATTCACTTTCAATTCAACTGAACAGAAATAAAAACACACTTTTAAGTAGCTCACACTTTCACTCCCGAGTTAATTAAATTCATATAACATACTTCTACGGTTTAAAAAATCGTTAGCTTCTTCCATAATTGAAGTTTTGGTTGCCGAGAAAACCAAATATTCCTCGAATCTTTTGCATACGGCACCACACTATTATTTTGATAAATTGCTTAGTAAGTAATTAAAAAATAAAAAATAGAAAGATTCTTTTTTCAGACGTTGAAATCAAAGTTTAATTACTTATTGTAAGCGCTTAAAAAACAAAATTAGAAAGATGTTTTTACTCGTAAGTTATTATTTAGTTTTTATTGCTATACAAACTCTAGTTTTGTTTTTGTCCTATTATTAAAAAAAATTTGCCATTAATAATAGATTGGGTCATACACTCTATAAATATATGTTGTATTTTATGTTTAGTACTCTTTATATTTGTATTATATTTTTACTGTTTTACATTTGTACAACTTTTATATTTTATTTCTTATATCTAGAAACTAGTACTTATGTTTTAGTTTTTGTTAACAGATTTTTTTCTTCTAAAACCAAAAAATTGTGCTTGGTGGCCATTCATCTCGCAACAAGTAATCAAGTTCCGAAAGTTATAAAAGAACAGAAAAATCAATATATTAACCATATGGTAATGACAGTCTCTGACATCTCAACTATTATCGCACAATACATTCTCATCTTTTCCAATATACACATGAAAGGTAAAATACTCTTTTGGTCTGTTAATTTATTAAATTTAATCCTTTTATTGTTAAAAAGTTCAATTTAATTTCCTATTTTTTTTTAAATAAAGTAATATGATTATTGTCATTTAATTAAAACTAACGACAATAAATTTTTGTACACATAATTACACATGTCATCTTTTTATTATGTCACATGTATAAAAAATTAATGTCATTAATTTTAATTGGACGAAAAAGATCATATTGCATCATTTAAAAAAAAAATTAAACCACTAATTTTAATAAATTAAAAAAATAAAAAGACTAATTTAGCTGAGTTCAAACTATTCGTAGGTAAGTGTTGAATGCCAACCGCAATAGTCCTCCTGTTTCGTTAAAAATAATTCCATAAGTCATAGACTTTGGCAAGTCCTAAATTAATGGTTATTACATTCTATTTTTAACATTATCATATTTGTTATATAAGAAATTTATCAACATGATGGCTATGGCAATAGTCATAATTAACATAACAATAAAGCACTAAAAATTTATCACTGATAAGAATCGGCCTGATTTGAAGAATCATGTTATGGAAAAAACATTAAAATGAAACTGCTGAACAACATCCACCAGGAAGCTAAATATTCATAAACTGGAAACTGGCATGTTATAGAAGGTAGCATGAGTAATATAGAGCAAATTCCCAGTTTTCTTCAGTTTAAACTCAACTGCAACAACAGTCAAATTTCTTCCAGACTTCATGACAGTGGCATTAGCTAGCACTTCTTCCTGGATAAACATAAAGTGAAAAATCCACTTATCAAAGGTTTTAAGCATGAACAAGGCTTATGAACACAAAAATGGGCATATCAGAGTTAGATGGCAAAGTTGGCAACAGTGACATCATCCAACATTTCTTCCAACCAGTAAAAAAATTTGAAGGATTTGGATACTATAAAGTGTAAAGTGCATGGGTAATAAGTAATTGTTGGGATACAAACAAATCCCACATCGATAAAATAAAACAAAAAATAATAACTTATATAACATAAACATACTTCAATGATTGATTATCCTTTTGGGTAATGACAAAAAACAAAACCGTGGGGGCTAAGGCCCAAAGCGGACAATATCTCATCATTGTGGAGTATGTTTGTGTAATAACCCTATAAAAATAACACTTTCATAAAATATCCCCTCAAACAAATACCATAAAATAACCCCAACAGTAATAACGACCGATGAAAACAACCAAGGGTGATTTATAACAAATGCAAAGTTTGTTATCCATGCATATTTTTTTTCAATCAAAATTTAAATTTGATTTTCTATTTGATAGTTATTGATAGTTCACTTTACTCTCTAAGCCGAACCATGCTCTTCATCCAAAAACTATATCTCAAACTCGATAGCAATTCTGGAAATCCTCAATATGAGATGTATTAGTCATCCACCAAAAATGTCAATGCAACTCACCAACATTACATACTGAATGAATGCGAAACTACATTCATTATGTGCTAGGAATACTTGTAATCTAAATATCTATTTTGTAAGATTACTTGTAAGGTTGATTTTTCAAGTCCTCTAGAGTTCAGAGAAAGACAAGAACCAGAATTTCCAGATTTGCCAATCAGACTTTGATGGCTGTAGGAGTCCTATAGTAGGCATATTTATCTTTACAATATAAATAATGAGGATCTATCACTGAATCACTGATCCAAAGCAATGCTAAGAAACTGCAACTGAAGCTGAATGATGCTAAGCAACATTGTTTATAATGCTAAGAGAGCAAACTTCTCAATCTAATGGCTTAATGTTGAAGTGGCTTGCTTTCTAACGTCCTCAGCTTTCTCTGTTGTTTCAAAATACAATTCATGATGAAGTATTACATTTCCTCATGCAGCACAACAAATCATTCTAAAGCCATGACTCCATGCCATTTATCTAGCATCTACTTATTTGAAGAAAACGTATTGTATTGCAATAGACAATAATGGAAAGAATCGAGGCTGAATATAAATAACTCACATTTGCTGGAGTGCCAGAGAGGTAAGAAACGTTCATTTCCCCAAGAATAAGTTCCTTCTCTTCAGCAACTACAGTTCTAGCACAAGCAGTAGACAGAATCTCAACCAAGGACCCAACAGCCCCTCCATGCAGAGTTCCATAGCCATTCTGCAATTCCAATAAAGAAAATGAAAATTTCAGATACAACTGCATAGCAGTTTTTTGTTTATTTCCATTTGACAAAATGTTAACTTTGAACCCAAATAAGTGAGTTCATTTGCTAACATAGAAAATGAGAACTTCAAGAAACCAAAATCACAGCCCTTGACTGTACTTTGCAACAAACCAAAATCTTCATACTCCCCAAATTATGCTCGATCAAAATATAAACAAAAATTAGGGGGTTGTTTGGTTCAATCAAATGTTTCTGTTTTTATTTTTTGCTTTCATTTTGAATTATAAAAAATGTCACCTTAGTTATATTTTTTTCCCCTATTTTCAAAAAAATTGTATAAGAGACATTGGAAACACTATTTCTCATGCAAACCTTTGGATTAAAGAGCCAAAACCTTTATAGAAGCTATTTTCATTTAGGGCCAATTTACTTCTATTCTTATTTTCTGTTTTCACTTTTAATTTGCACAATTGTCACCTTGTTTCCTATATTAAAAAATTTGAACAGCAAACAATTTTATTTTATTTTTTTCCATTGTTCCATGTACAACTCTTTGAAAACAAGGAACAAAATGAAAACAAGATGACAATTTTGTAAGAAGATTCCATACCATTAGCAAGGAGTTTGTTAGAAGGGCTTACGCAGATGAGTGGTTTGGCGAGAAGAGTGCATTGGATTCGTCCACGTTGGATGTGATCGACCTTGATGAAGTTCCTAAATAAGTGGTCGTAGAAGCCACGCGCGTTGCAGTTACGAGGAACAGGAATTGCAGCCTCCACAGCGTCAACGTAGTACAAGGTGTTGGAAGCATGTTTGGGGTCAACATCCTTCGAGAGTTTCAGCCATGGCGAGGCGCACACACTCTCTGCTTTCTCTTTCAAACTCATACCTAACACTCACACAGATTCTCTCCTCCTCTCTGTCATAACCATCTTTCGCTTCACTTCAACTGCAAATTGAATTATGCTTCTTGATTATTTTTTTTGGTTCGTTCCTGGAGTATCACCGCAGACAGCAGTGACTAATCTCCTCGCGTTGGAGGCACCTCAAAGGGTGGGATAGCTGGCCCCAAGATTTAATGCGACTGCATACACAAAGCAGGATTCTGACCCCCGACCTTGCTTAAGCGTGGATCAACCCTTGCCGCTGAACTACACGTTTGGAGTTTATGCTTCTTGATTTAGTAATACATCTACCAAATCACGTGTAATAAATATTTGGTTCTATATATGTGCTTTTTAATATTACAAAATATGTTATTCAACTATTTTAATTTATCGTATAATACATTAAATTTGTTGACTTTATCATAAATAACTAGAAAGTCAAATTAATGATAATTTATCATGGGCCGAAAGTGTAAATGTACACCTCATTAAACTTTAGCATATTTAATTAAAATTGGTAATAAATTTTTTTGTGTGCTATTGTTATTTTCTCTAAATCGATAGTTTTAAGAATAAATAATGGTTAAATCATCAAATTGGTTCTTGAAAGTGTATGCCATGTACAATTTGATTCATGAAAGATAAAAAAAATCTCTAAAAGTAATTTTCATCCATGAAGATAGTTCTTAAGTAAAATAAAAGTTTATTAACAACATTTCTATAATTGATGTGACACATTGAATATCATATCAATATCTTTAATATGTCCATGTGAACATACATGTCACAAAGACCAATTTAAAAATAAGATCATTTAATTGTCACGGCACATGAAGCAAATTGAAAGACTAATTTTTAACCTTTCTTAAACCATTAATTTGATTCCTAAAAGTAAATCTTGCAATTATTACCATTTGGATTCGTAATGATAGGAAAAAATAGCAGGATTTTCATTACTTTATCTTCATGGTTGGTAATAGAAATGAGAATAGATTAGGTTAAGCTAAGTTTTGAATATATAAGTCATATTTGTTGCATAAAATTAAAGTACAAATATGATTTAACATATTTAAAAACCTAACTATTAACTTATTTAAAAGTTTATCTATTAACTTATTTAAAAATTTATTTTATATTAATTTTAAATAAATCAACAAATATATATTTTTAAATATACCTGTATTTTTTAAAAAAAAAAATTCATGATAAAAAAATAATTTGTTTCATTATTATTAAAATTTAGGTTTTAAAGAAAAATATAAAACTAACGTAAGAATTTTCAAAACTAACATAAATTTTTTTTAAAGGTTAATTCTGATTTTTAATTAAATAAGATAGATTTTAAATAAATTAAAACATATATCTCTATTTAAGGTCCGATTTATTTTTATTTTAGTCAGTAGCCTTATATCTATCTTAGAGATGATTGTTAGATTGACCTGACTAATTGAGAGATTGGACTCGCCTTCTGGTCCTCAGTTCGACAAAAGTGTTTCCATGAAAATCTGAAAAAGAGGAAAAATGCCGAATTCACTTTCAATTCAACTGAACAAAAATAAAAACACACTTTAAGTAGCTCAAACTTTCACTCCCGAGTTAATTAAATTCATATAACATACTTCTATGAGAATTGAAATTAAACCTTCTAATAACAAACTATTAAAGTTAACACTTTTTGTACTTTCTGGATCTCCAAATTGCCGAGCTGACCGATCAATGTCTTTACGCGTTGTTAATGCTCAAGCCAAGAGGGTTGTGTACCCTCTGGACCTCTAAATTTTCGAATTGACCGAACAATGTCTCTACACGTTGCTAACACTCGAGCCAAGAGGGTTGTGTACCTTCCAGATCTCCAATTTGCCGAGTTGACCGATCAAGGCTCTTCATGTCGTTAACGCATAAGCCAGGAGGGTTGTGTACCCCATGGTCTCCAATTTGCCGAGCAAGTCGAACAATACATACATTCCTGGTCCCCATCTGACCAAACAACTCAAACTTTAGGCTAGTCATCGGTGTATTGACGAGTGAGTTCTGGTAAAACTAATCAAAGTTATGATTCACATGATTCTTGCATAGATTTGATTACGAATATAAATGGGATTCATAGACTCATTACAAAGAGGGATCTGCATGCATTTAAGGGGATGAGGATCAAAGATCCGTATCACGTATATGAGACCCATATAAATAAGGAGAAAGGGGATTGGTAAAAGTCAGGTTCTTCTCATTCTTGAATGTTCTAGGTCAGGACGGCGGCTACATTCTCTTAAGATTCACATCACTAAAGATTTTCAGGCTGCTATCCCCTTACTGGAACAACTTCTTGATCTGTGTTCTGTCAAATTCTCCATAATTAAAGGTTTAAGAATTTGATTGCATGTTGCATTCATATAACTAAAGTTGATAAATTTACTGATCGCTACTTGGCACTAGGAATTTTCTAAGATAGACACTGGCTATATTATTTACTCTAACGTGACTTTTTCTCAAAGATGACGCACGCTATAGTTAAATTATTAAAGAACAAGTTTCTTCATTCTTCACGTTGTAACATCTTCATGCTTGGTAGTTGGTAGTGATTTAATTTTGTCATTAACATCTTGCTGATAACTATGGTGGATGGAATGAATCCATCTAAGATTACTGGTGTACCATAGTGGGAGGAATGGTGCAATCATTGGCACTTCTAACGTCTGGGCCCAAATACATGATAAAAAAATAATGATATTTATTTTTCTCCTAGTGTTTGTGTTGCCGGATAGAGTTATATATCTTGGAAGGGAAGGTTGATGGTGTAATAATTCCATTGATAAATCAAGTAGATGTTTAAAACTATTAAATTGTATTTTTATTTTATTTTATTTATAAAAGTCATGTTTGAGATCTATTGTGGGTGGGATAAAGTTTTCAATAAACACTTATAGGAGAAAAAAAATTTAAAAAAAAATTCTTTGTAAATTAAAATCAGTTTATGTATAAATTAAAAATAAATTTTAAGATAATCATTACATATTTAATTAATTTTTTAATCTAAAATCTCTTAAATAACTATTTAAAAACTAATTAGTAATTAGTTTAAAAAATAATTGTATATGCTCACTAGCGAGCACTCTCCCACAATCTCACATAATAGAAGTATAGTGTACTTGCCAAAAAATGGAGATAAGAAGTCTTTGCTTGAAGGTTTTCGAGTTGTACTTGCAAAAGAGTTAACAAGTAATCCGAGTAATAAAGTGTATTGTGTATATATGTTACATATCTCATAAAGTCATGAAAATCTGATGTAAATATATTTATAGGTGAAAGAATGTTAAAGGATTTGACTATTAAGTGTATTTAAGAGTTTTTATTACAATGTAATGATCAAATATTACTCTTCGTCCTAATTAGTAATTACAACATAGTACTCCCTTCGTTTATTATTTATAGCCGTTTTGTCAGAATTTGTCATTTTTTTTTCATTGTCATTTTACTAAAATTAATGACTTATTAATTTTTTTTTTCATTTTTATCCTTGATAATTAATGTATGTTTACTGAATATTGTGTCTATTTATTTCTAATGTCTACCTATTTTTTCTCTAACCACTTATGTGAAGTTAATGTTGTATTTAAAAGGATAATATATTTTCAATGAAATACTATAAAAAAAATAGATGGTAGAATAGGAAAGTAAGTAATAAATATTTTTGAAAACTAAAATTTCAATCATTTTTTTAAGTCTCGTATAAAACTTTAAACGACTATGAATAAAAAATGGAGGAAGTATTTAACTAAACCAGATACTTTTTTAACCTTAAAAATTATTTGTTTAATATTTCTCTAGGACTGATAATTGACAATAATTGGATCCCAAAATATTTATAATATAAGTAGAAAAAAACGATAATTAATTTTTTAAAGTATAAATATGAAGGTCAAATATTGTCTCAACTTTAATAAAAACTTCAATTCTTACTTCCTCTTTAAAATCATGGCTAATATAAGCAAGGTAAAGAAATTTTGTGGCACCCATTAGTTTTATCAATTTTTCTTTCCGATTTCATATCAAACAAATAAAAGAAATATTTAATCTCTTTCATAAATCTCTCCTCCTTAAGTTACCTAAAAGGGACAGTAAGTGTGTGTTTGTATATTCAGTTCATCTGAACATAAAAAGTTTAACATTTTCCTTTCTTTTTATTTTATTTTTTATTTTACATTGGAATGTATAGAAAATGGCTATCAACAACACCATTAGAATAGGTTTTCAGATTATTAACAAATTGTTACTGAATCTAATCTCCTTAAACAATATATCAAGTTTAAATTTTGTGTATAAAAAAAATATGGTTGAAAAAAAGGATTCCATTAAAAATGGTCAATCAAATTCTCTTATAAAAAATTAATTATCAATAAAATTAGTGAATATTTTGTAACAATAACAGTTAAAAAATATAAATTTTCAAAAATCCTTCTGAACAATCACTACATAATTACGATCCGAATCAATGTCTTACCCATTGTACTATAGATATCCGTGGAGAAAGAAAAAACTCAAACATCTCTTAAATATTTGTTTAACCTTTTTTATTTTCTTTCTATTACATAAACACTAAGCAAGGTTGCTTCATGAAATTTGTACTTTAGAGCAAGTACATCGGGAGTTTCATAACTAGATTATTGACAATTGTGATACATGCATGGAATCAGATGCTTGTACAAGTAACGGCTCCAATAAAAAAAAAATAATAAAGTGGGTTCCATTGGTAATTTTTATTATTTTTACAGAAAAGTTTGTTGAGTGAAATATGCAATGATACCAGGAGTAACGTTAGCGTTATATACTTTTGCCCCGAAATTTGTCACACTACATTCACTCCTACATGCCTGCATTCTTATCATTTGTCAAGCCCATGCTTCACATTTTAAACTTTTCTCTACTATGAGATCGATACCAATTGTATCTTAAATTGATGAGTTAGTTTCTGTTTAAAACATAATGGTGAAAATATCACTCTACATTTATAAGGGTCAAAGAATCAAAGCATATGAGTGTAAAAAAATAATGTAATCAGACGTGATATGATGGTAATTTTTTTTTCCTAAATGTAAACGAATGTGTATATAGGAATGTGTTTATTATTATTTTTTTAAAATAAAAGTTTAGACTTCAACAAAGACACAATTCTATATAAAATCAAAATCAACTATTAATTTTTTTTTATAGAATTTGCAATGAAAATATGAAATTATGAATTATCTACTCTATCCTAACACAAGTTGTATATAAGAAAGTGTAGATGACAATAATATTATTCTTGTTCATAAATGTAAATGTAATTTTTTTAAAGTATATCAAAACTTATTTCTCTAACTTAAAATCTTTTAAGAAAAAAGACCATCAGAAAGATTTTATCCTCAATTTCCGCTAAAGATCCTAGTTTGCGTGTAGCTTTTTTCTCTCAAAATAAGTAAACGTTAAAGTTTAGGCAAATATCCTTATTTACAATGATCTAGGTAATTTTTAACGAGTTTGTTTTAGAAAAAGACACGAATTTCAATGAAAAAACCATCTGATATAACTTTTTCTCGTTCAATGATACGTGATGGCAAAACAAACACGCCTTTAATTGGTGTGTATAGCGGTTTCTACAGTCAACCTTTTGTAATAGAAAAAACTTGTAAAAGGACTCAAAACATTTAAAAGGAAAAAAGTTGGAGACACGCAAAATCCAGCTCCAATTGGTAATATACTGGTTCAGTCATTTATGGTATAGTGATTTCCAGTTTTTTTTTTTTTTTTTTCTACTTTAAGAGAGCATAGAGAGAAGCATTCTGGATCAAATAGTTCTGTCCATTTAGAACTTGCGAAGTGTGTGTGTGGAATTTTCAATTTCAAGGGTAAAGATGCCTCGTGGAACGCTTGAAGTTGTTCTGATCAGCGCCAAAGGCCTCGAGGACAATGATTTTCTCTGTAAGCACTATATTATATGCATAGCTGATAAGAAAATCAGATACTGTGTAATCTATGATTCCCTCTTCACAGAAATTTTGTATGGAACTGTTGATCAGAAAGTTTTGCTTTCAACTTTTAGATGCATAAAATTCTCTCACTTTAAGATGGTTTGATCCAGATCTGTGTTGTTTTATGTCTTTGTCAATTAACTCTCTCTCAGTTACAAATTAAACTACAAAAAGTACATTTTGTGTTGATCTGATCTAGATGTGTTCTGTTCGGATCTGATTCGGTTGACCTGAGCAATTCAATTTATAGGGTGAAGTAAGTAATTTTAGTTGATGAGACAATGCATATGCATAACAAATCATGAATGTTTTGAAAAATCAATTGTTGACTTTCCCTTCAGAGAAACCAAATTCGTTTTGTTGATATAGCTATATTACTTTGAGTGTACCTTATTTTCAAATGAAACATGAGAATCAATTAGTTGACATTTTTCTTTAATCTGGTTAATGGGAATCAACTATTCAAACTGATCAAGATAGAGTATAATCTAAAGATCTGATTTTGTTCTCATTCTCAATGTGCAGCCAGCATAGATCCTTATGTGATTCTCACATACAGGGCACAGGAGCACAAGAGCACTGTGCAAGAAGGTGAATTTCTGGCTAACTTAACTATAAATTTGCTAATGTATGTTCTCTTTTATATCTCTGGTGCTTGAATTGATTACTACTGTGTTATGACTTATGAATATCAGGTGCTGGATCCAACCCACAATGGAATGAGAGTTTTCTTTTCACTGTCTCTGACAGTGCCTCTGAACTTAATCTAAAGATAATGGATAAAGACAAGTTTTCTGAAGATGATTCTCTTGGCGAGGCAATGTGAGTTAAATTCTTCTTCAACTTTCACATTTTCATTGTTTTTTCAGTGAAATTTCATTGGAGATAGGATTGAATTTAATAGAGGAGAGTATCGAAACAAAACTTAGATCAAATTCTTTATATCTTTTACCATCAACTAAATGTTTATATCGAGAAATGTTAATAACACACTCTTTTGAACATATTTTCTATTATCGACTAAAATTTATTAAAAATTATAAAATTTAGACGGTTTCTCACCTATGATTTTGTAATTGTGCATTTTTGTATAACATGAGTAATTGTTTCTGATACAAAAAGGTAGGGACATTAATTTTCATTCATTTTTATCTGCATTCTGTAGCATTCATTTAGATCCAGTGTTTGAAGAAGGTAGCCTTCCAGAAACTGTTTACAAGGTTGTGAAGGACCAAGAATACTGTGGAGAGATTAAGGTGGCTTTAACTTTTACTGCTGAGGTAAAGCTGAAATCTATTCTTTTTATTATTATTTATTTCATACTTTGATGCATGTTATATGTTCCATTAACTTCAACTTGCAGAGAAATGAGGAGCGTTACACCGACCAGGATGAGAGCTATGGTGGATGGAAAGAATCGAGTGATGAATTTTAAAGTGAAAGGAGGAAGAATTTACATGCTTCTCTTATATATAATTACTTTTAGAATGAAAAATAAGCAGTTTTGGGTGACTTTTTTTTTCTTTGGAATTTTAATTATTGTGTTTTCTGGTGTGAAGATGCATTAAGCAATAGTGGTGTGCTGATACTTGTTAGGTTACTTTCCTCCTTTGAATATATATAAAACTACATTATGCTTGACATATTATCTTCTTTATGCACTTAACAATTTCATTTATGATTTGTTTGGATTTGAGGATGGAAAAGGGAGAGTGGAAAAGGAGCGATTTGAAGGAAAAGTGAGTGGAAAGTGTGATTGTTTGGATTAAGGGAAAGTGAGTGGAAAGTGTAGAGAAAGTTTGTGAGTGAATTGATTGATGTGATAGATAAAAATAAATTTTTTAATTGATAATTGTGTAAGATTACTATTTTGCCCTTAGGTTAAAAAAAGTTTATAATTATTATAATTAAAAGATAATTATATAAATTTTAATTAAAAAAATTATAAAATATTAATTTAAAAATAATTTAATTTAAATATTTACTTTAAATTTAATGATAGATAAAAATTAAAAATTTAATAGATGAATATATAATTTACACTTTTACCCTTGGATTAAAAATGAGTATAATATTATTTATTGTAAATAATAATAATTACAATAAAATTATATTAATAGGTATAATTTATTAAAAAAATAATAAATAATGATAAGAATAATAATAAATATTAGAAAAATAATAAGAATCATAATAAATAATAATGATACTAATTATAATAAATAATAATATTAATATTAATAAAAATGAAAATAATAATATTTATAATAATAAATAATAATAACAAAATATATTATGATAATTATATTTTGTAACATTATTTTATTAATGTTTATGAAAGTGTTATTATTTTAATTTTATAAACATGTATTACTTTATTTTTTTTTATATTTCCACTTTTTAATGTCAATATTTAAATAATAGAATTTTCTTAATATAAAAAAAATGTACAATAAACCCTAAAAATAGATAACCGAACTTTAATATATATAAAAGTGAGAAGATAGAAATATTAATATTTAATTTTCATATTTAATTTATATATATAAATTAAATAAATATTTAATTTATATATATGAAAAAGAGTATTAAATAATCATTATTTATTAAGTAATTAATGTGGCCAGAACGACCCGTTTCTAATCTGGAACGGCCGTTCTGGACTCATTTCCCATCCCAAAATTTGCTACCCATAACGGCCCGTTCCAAAAGTGGAACGGCCTGTTCCTAAAGTGGAACGACCCGTTCTGAGTTCGCATATTGCTCAAAAAATTCATTTTTGGAACGGGCCGTTCTAGGTTCCACTGCAAGCGAAAATACCTCGGCATAATCGATTATGCTTGGCCACATAATCGATTATGGCCAACCATAATCGATTATGTTTCCTCTGCTGCATGGCACAGGGGCATTTCCGGGTAAGCAAAAATCTTACGTGACTTTCTTCTCTTTTCTTTGCTTTTGTGCGAGGACGGTCACGACGTCTCTCCTCCCTTTTCTTCGCCTTTCCGTCGTTGCAAATCACTGGAAACGAACACCTCTTTTCTTCGCCTTTCCTTCTTCGTGAATAGTAAATCCGTGGAAGCAAACAGGGGCTTAGAGAAAATATGCTATACATCTTCAGTGTAAATTAATACAATGTCATCTAACAAATCATAATATATAAGATTTTTGAAAATTTTAAAATATTCTTTTTTTGATAAAAAAGTTTTGTGATTTAAAAAATAAAATAAAATATGGTATTCTTTAATTGAAACTTTTTATTTTATTTTATTTTTAGATAGCAATGACTAATCGCCTCGCTACGCTAGGTTGGAGGCACCTCAAAGGGTGAGATAGCTGGTCCCAAAATTTAACGCGGTTGCATACATAAGGCAGAATTCGAACCCCTGACCTTACTTAAGGTGGATCAACCCCTACCACTGAACCATACGCTTGAAATTAATTAAAACTTTTTATACAAAAAAAATATTTTGATATTCAAATGTATACAAGTTTTTTTTTAAAAATTATAAAATAATTTTTACGACATTTTGGATATTCTTTCAACTACTTTGACTCCTATATATCATATAATAAACATTTAATTTGTATATATTTAAATACCGGTTCTCATTTAAAATCTTTAAATTTTATGTAATTCTTTTCTCTCTCTTCTTTTTCTGTCATTTTTTTTTTCATATCTCTTCTATCTTCATGTTTTATCCTACCTTTCTCATTTTATTTAAATTAAGTATTTGAAATTAAAAAATTTAATTAATTTATTGAAATAAAACATTTAAAATGAATGAAATTTAAATTAATGCAATTAAAATCTCAAGTATATCAATTTTTTTTTGAAATTTTAACATTTCTCTTCCAAATACAAAATTAAGAGAAACTTTTGAGATATTTAGAAAATTATTATATAAAATATCTTTAAAAAAAGAGAATGATGAGACCGGAAATTTCAATCTCTAGGTTATAATTTGAAAACACGTAAATTGTCTTTATACCACCTAAGATATTTATGTGTACATATACATGATACAACTTTATGGGAATGTTTCGGATATTTTAAGCAAATACTTAAATTTAACAATGTTTTGCTGTGCGTACAAATTAATTTAAGTCTATTACAAATTCAATATGTTTTTTTTTTCTTCTTTTTCTTGTTGTGTTGTTTATCCTGCAATAGAATTAAGATTTCATGTTCATTTAGCGATAAAAAAACTTAAAAAAATATTTTTATTTTAATTTTTTATCCAAATTTTATAAAAAAAAAGTTGTTATCTCCTCCGTTGACATTGGAGTATGCTTAAAAAAATCTGTAGAATTATCTTAAAATATTTATAAACCTATAAAATCTTATAAATTCCCATAATAAATTTGTTAACATTTTTACTACAAAATTTTGGTTTTTATTTTTTTTGAGAGTAATATAATTTTTTTTAATAAACCATTATATTTTTATATACTATTTTAAATTTATAAAATATTTTTATTTAGACTTTTTTTTTTCATTCCCTAGGAATATCTTATCAAAAACAAATGTTAAAAGTTTTTTTTTTATACTGTCCATGTGTTACGACTAAATTCTTATTTTTTTAATTGATTTATATCGTACATCAAAAATTAATCTTTAAAAAAATCAGAAAATGCTCGCCTATTGTGCAATACAAGTAACATGAAAGGAGGAATGGCACCTGAATACTGAACTTGAGAGGAAGGAGAAGAGAGAGAAAGAAGAAAGAAGAAAGAAGAAAGAAGAAAGTGATGAGTAAAGTGAAGATTTTGGTTGTGGGAGGCACAGGTTACTTGGGTCAGCATCTGCTACAAGCCTATGCTCATGCCAATGCCAATGGAACTCCTTTTGCTTTCGATCTCGCTTTCACACACCACTCCTCTCCTCCTCCCCGCCTTCTGTTAGATGCCATTCCTTCCTCCCTTCCTTTCCAAGTAGATTTCAAAACTGGCTCTGGATTTGAAGCCATTTCCAACACTTTTGGTCAGGTTCTGTCCTCACCCTCTTCACTTGAATTTGGTTGCGTTGATGATGTCATTTCCATTTCAATTGGGGGAGGAGAAAAAACATGATTTTGATTGATGGGTCGTTTTGTGAATTTGCTTATGGGCTTAAAGTTTGCGCCTTTTTTGATATATTGTTGCTTCATTGCTTCAGTGGTAAACTCTGGTTGATTAAGGTTTTATGATTTTGTTTGGCATTGACACACTTAGGAGAGCCTCAAATAGGAGAGTGTTTGCTTGGATTGGAATTGCATTGGCTGTTTTATATGAAACACCCTTTTCTTTTCTCTATTTCCACTGAACTACTCACTTGTTTGCTGTTTATTCATAACAAATGATTTAGATAATCTAGTGTACAGGATGCATGTTGCTTTGATTTCAATATTTTATACAAAATGTAAAAGGGTTATGGGCATAAGAAGTGAGGTGTGTTGTCAATTTAGTTGCTAACACTTGGTATACTAGTGCATCTTACCATGTTTGGATCTTCGAGATTATCATAAATTGATTAGATCGCAATTATGCAGCTGGTTTTAGGCCAATGTAAATAGCCGTTTTTTCTACACTGAGTGGTTTACTCCTTGTACTTCTGGAATTCTGCATGCTTTTGGACTTATGGAATTTATTTCTGTGTAAAAGATTTTCATCTCCCTTTCCTCTCAACTTGATAGGTACTCATTAATCATTCTTCTTGCTATATACCGGTGTGAGTATGACCATATGTGTGTGTGCACAAGGGATCTTGGAGAAACAGAGAGAAAGCGTGTTTCATCATTTATGTAATGATTCTTTAAATATTTATAAGTTCAACAAATGCCAATGTCTTACAAGCCTTTCAATTTCATCCCTTAAATGTATCTTAAGGGTATAGCTTTCTCCAAATAGAAAATCATTAGATGAAAACTTGAGGATAAAGGACCACATGTTACCATTTCAAAGTGTACACAACAATATTATGATTTGTTTCATTATTGGATTGAAAATTCTGTTTGGTTATTAATGGCAGCCTGATGTGGTTGTCAATTGTGCTGCCATCTCAGTTCCACGTGCTTGTGAAATCGATCCTGATAATGCACATGCTATTAATGTGCCATCATCTCTTGTCAAATGGTTGCAAAGCTTTGAGAAGAACAGAACTCTTCTCATTCATCTCTCCACGGATCAAGGTAACCCGATCTTACCATGATAGGTGAAAGTGAAGGAATGTGTATTATTAAAAATAAAGATATTTCTATAACCTTTTTGAGCCTCTCCTTGCTTCTTTCTTGCTTTATTTTTCTCTTTCTAGCATTTGTCATTCTTAACTGAAATTATCATCATTGTCATTGAAGATTCAGATAATTTTTTTTTGTGTATCCCTTATCCTTTTTTAGCAATATCAAGGGACCAAGTCATTTTTGGTGTATAATTTTCTTCCTTGATTAATCTAGTGCGTTTATTATCAATATTTATGTCCATTTACACTGACTTTTAGCAAAGTTGTAATCATGTTCCTTCTCATCAGTTTATGAAGGGGAGAAGTCCTTTTATAAGGAAGAAGACAATGCTGTTCCAGTAAACGTTTATGGCAAAACTAAAGTGGCAGCTGAGGAGTTCATTTCAGAAAATTTTCCGAACTTTGCAATTTTGAGAAGCAGTATCATCTATGGGCCACAAACAGTCTCTCCAGTTGCAAAATCTCTTCCTATTCAGGTGCTTGTGCAATATGTGGACTATGTATTATCCACTTTATTGGCAAACTAATGTTTCAAGCATTTGGGTTGATGAAACTCTAGTCTGATGGTAAATTTTGCTACTTAATGCGTGATAAATAGAATATTTCTTTCTTAAAAGATGGTGGTAGTACTTTGCTCACCATTTTTCAATCAGCAGTATTAATATTAAGAACATCATTTTCCATCATTGATTTGATGGTTTGTGTTTATTTGTTCTCTTTAGTGGCTTTTTTTCCCCTCTGAAAGAAAACCTACACTAAGTAAGATTTTCAATTTTTTTTTTTTTGCTTCTACTTTGCTATAAAGATTATAATTTTCCTATTACATCTAGGGCCCACTTAAATAAAGGGGCATGTTCTTGGGAAAGATGTGTCTATTGGGGAAATTTACTTGATGTTTTATTCATTCATAGTTTCATACAATGTTAGGAAACCGAAACCACCTATTAATAGTGTTTATGCTAGGAAAGAACAGAGAGGCAACCGAGGTGAATTGAATGCTTCATGTAACAGATTGCATGATGAGCAATCAAGCAGAATTGAGTGACCTCTGTAACATATTTCCATCAGAGAGGCAATCAAGGGATTTAGGTAGGGAAGTTGACTTGTACCACTATGAAAAAGAGGATGGGGAAGTGAGGCAGCCAGGCAGGAAATAAGTAGTAGAGATTAACGGTGTGAGGGAGTGCAGGTTATCTCAAACACACTGTTATTTTTTATGATTCATTTTATTAAGGGCCTGGTTGAGTGGACTTCTCCATAGGAAATTTTAGGAGACAAAAATAGGAATAAAAAATGAAATAGGTTTTTTCATAATCTAAAATTAGCTTACGTGTAAGTTAATTAGAAGAAGTTCTCTTCTATTTGCTTATCCAAATCTTATTTTTAACTTACGTGTAAATTAATTAACTTATAGAAAAACTTATTTTCATTTTTCTTCATATTTTATTCTCCTTGAAGTGTTTATGGAGAAATTTACTCAAACAGATCCCAAGTCATCTAGTCATTGGTAGTTTGGTACTATTTTATTAGCACCATACTAACGCCAATATACAGTATATTTATCCTCATGTAAGTGTGCTCTATTCCTGTTTCTAACACACAATCTGATTGATGCAGTGGATTGATGGCTCCCTGGCTAAAGGAGAAAAAGTGGAGTTCTTTCATGATGAGTTCCGTTGTCCAATTTATGTTATGGATCTTGTATCTATCATACTAGCTTTAACTAATCAATGGATATCAGGTATAGGACTTTTAATACTAAGCTCATATATTCGTTAGACATATGGTATGCTGTGAAAAATTCTTAACTAAATTGATTTTGAGTGAGACCTTTTTTAAGCTTGCAAGATACAATTAAAAATATCTACAAAGATTGTTTTTATACTTTAACAGAATTACAATCTCCTATGATATTTTCTTGTGTATAATTTTGGCATTTCCTAACAATTGTGAAATGTCCCCTCTGGCCTCTTGTTCTTTATTATGATTTCGTTTGGCTCTTCCATATTTTTCATTTTAAATGCCCATATTATATTTTCTTGTATTGTTCAAACTTTACTTTAAGCTGAGGAATATCAAATTTGGATCCATGAATGAATTCTTACTTTCTGATTCTTGTCAGAGGGCAAGCAAATGCAATTATTACTTAATGTTGGTGGATCTGATCGCTTGTCACGTGTTCAAATGGCGGAGGCTGTTGCACTATTTAGAGGGTATGACACCTCATTAATCAAATCAGTGTCTGCCTCGTCGGTACGTATTGTTCTTCATTTTATCACAAAATTTTGTGATATGGAATTATCAAGTTGTTTTCTTTGTTTATCTGTTTTATCTTTGTATACAAAATTAAATGTTTTTCCTTAATCAAAGATTCAAGAGATTCTGTGTCCTCATTACATGTCCTGGCTATCAAAGTTTTCGTTCAGCTTGATATGATTAATCTTCTATTTCTCTGATTGTGCTGTATTGAGTTGTAACTTTGTCGTATTTCTCAGGTTGATCGAGGTGTGAAGTCCCCAGCTGACATATCTATGGATATCACTAAATTGGTTCAAACCCTAAAAATTTATCCTGTTTCATTTAAAGATGGTGTGAGATTAACACTCACAACCGAAGCAAGGGAATGAGGCAACAAAGATATCAAATAAGGCTTCCTTTTTAGCATTTGAGTCTATTTTTCTGTCATTAAGACTGAAATGTGTTTTCAATACTTCTTACTACATTTAGATTCTTGTAAAATAAATCTAGGCAAATTCTTGAAAAAGTCAAGCCAAGCCAAATTTTTGGACCTGCTTGGAATCAGAAAATGGCAAGTAGCTAATCAACTCACAAAATCAATCACCAATTATCTTTCATCACCTGACGCTGAGTCCAACAATTTGGTTTTGTCTTTTCATCCTTGTCATTCTCCCAACAATTTTCGATACATTTTATACTACAATCTACAAGCCAGTGTACTAATGCACTGAACAGTGAACCTTTTATGTATGTTCAGTGATGCCAGCAAAATACTCGTGTCGTTATTATTGGAATTTCCTTCCAATTACTAATCGTGTGTTTGTATTTTCGTTGTCTCGTTTTTCAATGCAACTGAATGTGAAAGAAAATAATTGTTGTATTGGTGTTCAACTGGCTTTGAAATGTAAAATCAGACACACTTTAAATATATGAAACCACTGTTTCAGCCCTCAAATGTACCATGCAAGACTGTTCATTAGGCTTGGAAACTTATGACTGGTTGTTTCTCTCAAATGAAGTGCAAGTTTGGATTAATTTATTTTGATCCTATAAAGTGGTAAATCAGACGTTTGGACTTGAAAAAATAAATAAAAATGGTTATCATATATGCGACGAAGAACTACATTAAAATTGAAGGGAAAGCCTTTGAGCACTAGAATTGCCAGCATAGCTTCAGTCTTCTTAAGTTAATTTTTAAGTTTGTCTTATAAATAGAAAAAATACAGTTAAAAGGAGAGATTTTATTAAAGATGATTTTTAATAGAAATTAATCATCAATAAAATTAAGAAATATTTCATGTTAATAACATAATTATAAAAATAATTAGCAGCAAAGAAGTTGGCACTTCTGATGCACATGCGAATTTGGCCTAATAAATGAACTTTGTGGTCTGGATTAAACGAGAGGAAGCTTTTCATTGATGGTTATTGTTCATTAAAAACAAAAAGGATAGGCCTATCCAAGAACCTTTGTGGTCAGCATTAGACTAAAAATCCATTGTTTCCGAACCTCATTCCCCCCTCTTCTCTCAGCAATGCCGTCTGTGGTCAGTTTACAAAACAGTTAATAATGTCATCTTTTGTTGCTCTTCATGGCCTGCATGGCTCTCTTCACCGATCCCAGTTCCTTGGCCAAGACAGCCTCACTCATCTCTACCCTCGCAACAAGGCTTCCACCATTCACAACAAGCCTACAACGGTCCAACCATGTGCCAAATTAGACATGCTACAAATCCTGGGAGGAAGAGGACTATGCAATGGAGAAGAGGGCCTCAAACAAGAGCTGAAGAGGGAAGTTGGTGCCGATGAGAAGACACCACCACCATCATCAGCAAGTGAAAATGAGCAAGAGGACTCAGCAACATTGGCAAGTGTTGCAGAAGATGGTTTTGAGAAGGAACTTTTGGGGCTAACTGGGGGGTTTCCAGGGGGTGAGAAGGGGTTGAAAAGGTTCATTCAGGAAAACCCTCCTCCCAAACCAAGTGCTGGGGGGAAAAGCCTGAAACTTGCACTGTCAAAGAAGCCAAAACCACCAGAACTGCCTCTGTTGCTGCCAGGGATGATTGCCATTGTGAAAAATCCAAACAACCCCTTTTACATGTACTGTGGTATTGTGCAGAGAATCACAGATGGAAAGGCAGGGGTTCTCTTTGAAGGAGGGAACTGGGATAGGTTGATCACGTTCAGGTTGGAAGAACTTGAGCGCAGAGAAAAAGGCCCTCCTTGTAAGAATCCCAAGTCTGCTGTGCTTGAACCGTTTCTTGAAAAGAAATCATAGTTAAGCTCTTTGTTTCAATTTGCAAAACATGTTCACTTCTGTATCATATATTTATATATGTATCTGCCTTTCTGACAAATAAAGCATAGCTGAGTGTTGCTACTAGTACTACTGTTTTGATGTTCTTTTTGGGTAAGTAAATATCGAGGGGTAACCAAAGTGAACAAAGGTTGCATTGGTAAAAAGACTTTATGCTGAACCTGTAAATTTGTGCAAATTTATGTTAAGAAAATGGTGGTGCATAATTTAGTGTGACATTTTGTGCTTTTGTGTGAGTAGCTGTTCAGTGTTATGAGTCTTGTCCTTTTCCAGAACAGTTGTAGAACTTCCCTCATCGGAAAAAGATTAATCATGGTTTTCCATTTCAATCGTGTGCTTACACGTTATTGACAAACAAAAATTCTTGTTTCTTAATTTGGTGCATTAGTGATTTCTCATTTGCACTGATGATGCAAATGAGTTTCCAAATACACTGGATTGTAAGCTGCATACTGTAGTTGTTAACCATGCATTGGCAGCTAACTAGTTACCAAACTCAAATGGTTGCCAATTGGATACACTTTATTTCGTTAGGATGAGTGATAGGAAAAAGATAAATGTTGAGAAATATGTTTTCTGATATATTCTTTTGAACCAATATTGGTAGGTATAAATACTAATATTGGTTGGTGTAAATAATAATAACTTGTATATTTTAATTGAGTTATTTAGAGTTTAAATCTATATTTTTAACAAAGATAAGCCACCACTTCTAGTGTGGATATTTCATATCAACATAGATAGGTCAACACTTTTATTAATCACAATTTATTGAAAATCACAATTTTGTGATTCTTATTCATGATTTTTGTAAATTATAATAAATTTTAAAAATAATAAAAAGTGTGATTTATAGGAGAAATTGTTATTAAGTTAGAAGACTATCACATGTCTATAGTCTTGATTAATATATATTTTTTTATATACTTAAAATGATAGATAAGGAATTTACGAGCAGAGAGTTAATGACATGTTGACATTCTCAAACTAAGCACCAATATCTACTTAATGATTAATCAAAATTTGGTAGTACCCAATTTGACTTGAGACTTGACTTGTCGAATTAAACAACTAGAAGGATTTTATTTGACACCAATAAATCTTATTAAATATGTAGACTAAAGTAGGATTTTAATAGTCGTATTGAACCCGCATTATAGAAAATATAAACTCGAATTGATTTGGATCATTTGTGTCAACGCACAATAATTAATCTTAATATTTGTATGATCAAGTTTTTCAGTTTTTGAAAAAAAGTTAATAAATTTTGACTATAATTTATGTAGAGATTGGTTGAAATCAAATAATATTTTTGCAAAATGATAAGGAATAATCGAGAATTAAGGAAGATAACTAAATTTTAAGTGATAGTTAACCACATAAATCTTGGGGATAATTAAATTACATTCTTCTTTAAATTGCGACATCATGCTATTTATATTAATATATAAAGTTTTGTTAGATAATTAGGATAGGATATAATATAAAAAGAATATGATAAACTTTAATCTTATCAAATGTTTAATATATTTACTATAAGAGTAATTTTTAGTAGAATTATTTCACATAATAATTCACAATATGTATTAAATTTCAATGATCTATATGTTAAACTAAAAGTTCTTACTAAAAAGATAAGTTCACACATTTTAAAAAAATTATAAACTATTTTATATTTTAATTTTATTATATGTTAATTCGAATCTCTATAACTATCATATAACTTTTAAACTTTGCAAATTATAGACTTGATTTATATCTAACAGCTAAATCATTAAAATTTAATATAAATAATAAATTATTAAATAAAATGATTTCATTTATCACATGCAAAGTTTAAAAAATTATTTGATATAAATTCAAATTAATGTATCTAAATGAAGTTTAATTATTGCTAGTAGTTTTGCAGTTTTTATTGATTTCAATTTACATTTTATATAAAAAAAAAGTAAAAGCTATAAATCTTTTAATTATTGATTAGGTTTAATATACTAATTCTAAAATATATTTTTTTATCATTGTATTTTACCCTTCAACAAAATTTTTCTGTACCCCCGGAATGAAGATTATACAAAACTTTAAGTCCCGTCCATTATAGTCTTCAAACAACTAACAACACTAAAAATTGTTCTATGGCTCATTCTCTTATATTATATTATCTCTCACCCGTAAAAGCCATGCACCCATGACAATTGGCCAAACCAACAATTTATGGCATTAATCAAGCATATGGCTCTTGAAAACCCAATTATTTGGAGCAAAAAATGCTATGACTGCAGAACCATTTAATGCACCACATAGATGAAGGTATAAAAAGGACACAAAAATGACTCTCAACAATAACATCTGCAAAATGCAAGCACAACCCAACATATATATATATATATTTACATACATCAGGCTTCTGCATGCAATTAGCACTTTGAAAACTCTTAAAACACATAGAGTTCAGCCAATTCCTCCAAAGAGTCAGAACCAAACTTAGGATCTGCATTTTCTAGCATCCACAATAGATGATCAAACAGAACCACTTCACAGTTGACCACCAAAACACTTTCATCACTTCCCTTTTGCTTTGACTTGTTGATCAGAGCTTCCAGAAGAGGATGTTTCAGATACTTGGAGCTTATCATATACCGTTTCCTTGTGCTGCCAACAAATATAGTTTCACACTGTTCATCTTCTTGCATGCCATGTCCTTCCCATGATAAGTCTTCCTTAGCAAATTTGGACCTTAGGCTACTATGTGATGAAGATCTTCCTAGTTGCTTTGACAAGCTCTTGCACTTGTTGAGTAATAGATTGAGCTTCTTCATGACTTCTTTTAGGGAGAGGAATGATTATGAAGAATCAATGAATGAACACAAAGAATGACAAAGAAGATTAAAATACACTCACAATAAAGTGTATTATGCTTTTAAAGAGAGAGAGAGAGAGAGAGAGTGGTAGGTGTAAAGCTATTGTATTGGGGTGCTAGAAGTGTGGGTTCAATTTGGAACCAAACATTTTTAGTGATACAAACAAGTCATATTTTAGTTAATAAAAACAAGGGTAGTAGCTTTAACTTACATGCATAACAGACAAGCAGACAGACACAACTGAAACTGTTTTCACTCATCGCTGGTAAGCAGAGCCCATTGTTTTTCTCAACCCATATTCTTCTGGGGGGCCACTCCTAATGCCCATGCTACATAAAAATCCAAAGGAAGAACTTATATTAAAACAAAAAATGAGGCATCAACAAGTCTTAGATAAAAAGAGGAAATGTGCTAAGTTAGTGAACTGATTATGATTTCATAGACTTTGGAGAGTTTTAATATTAAAGACAAGGATGTAAATTTTTGTTTACAATTTGATTTTCTGATAAAAATATCAAAGTATAATATAATGTAAAGGATGCTCAATGCAATGTTGTTGTGTTAAATCGAGAATAAATTTTCCTAATAAAACTAAGTGCCAAACTCTTTAGTGCACCATACATATAAGTAGAAGTAGAATGGACTAGAAGGTTTCTGAATTCGAACTATCAGGTAAAATAATTAGAAAAAATGTTCATTGTACTTGAACAAGTAGTACTGTAGTGTATTTTTTATTTTCCTGTGCAAGACTGGATTTTGCCAGCATTTTCTTGGGGGTTACAAGGAATATAGAGTTATGCATAAGCTCTTATCACTTACATGGTTGACTTCATTTTTGCTATGTAAAAACTAGTAAGAGCCTTACATGACAAGGCTAATAATTCAAGATAATATTTAAGATAAGAAGAGCCACTATACTGACATGTATGAAATGTGCTAATCACAAAGATATTTAGTTTCTTTGCTATAAATATCTAGAAGGTTTCATCAAAAATAGAAAAACAGGTGCACTCAATATGTGCCGTGGGGTTGATGTCCTTTAGAAATGGAACCTTGACAATGTGCTTCGTCTTGTGCATGCAACTGTTTGTCCCCAAAACATTTTGTGATCAATACATTGATGAAGTTGCATAACAACTCACCTAAATATAACACATAACACTGAATTTTGTCTAGTTCTGAAATCTACATCACAGCATTGTCGATTTAAGAATGATAACTTGTTTGGAACATTCTTTACAGTTTTCAAGATTTGAAGCACAAATAAAGGGTTAATTACATAGTAAAAGTAAATGAGTTTTAACCTTTGTATTATGCTGCGAACTGTGAAGTATCATTTTAATAAACCGAAGCTCAATTTTTTAACAAAGTTTGTCTCTAAATACAGTTATTTGAGATTGAGACAACACATATCCATAACTCCCTTGAACTAAAATTTAATACAGGTCTACAATATTTAAACTCCAACCAGTTAACTATTTACAAGGTCATATGAATATTACAGAATTGGATTTAATAATCTCTCAATAGAAATTTAAGATTTAAAGCTCAGCCAATGACTTCAACTTTGAACCAAGAATAAGATATATACATTATTTTTTCCTACCAACAAAATCATGACTCCAAAACAAGAAACATCAGTCTCCTTTGAATGCTAACCAAATAGGTATCACTCCTTTTGTGGTCCTTTGAAAAAGTGTAACAATTAACATTTGATTTCATTTATCATTAATATGTATGGCACTGATATTTGTGCATTTCTAACAAAGAAAGGGAAGGGGTCAAATGATAAAAAATAATGCACAAAACTTCACATTCTAGAAATTAACCAGGGACATATAAGTGTTTTTTTTAATCTAGCTACTATTGAGAAAATAGGTGGAAATTGCATAATTAATTAGATGATGAAGACATATATAGTTGTCAGTAAGTGTCACATAACCAAATGAGATTTTGGATAGCAAACAAAAAGAATCATGATGGGGGACATTTACAAACACTGCATAATAGGGCCAAAAATGCTATGAGGTTTCGTTTGTCACCAAGTGTAGTGTGGTACCCTTAGTACAACCCGTGGTTTTTCACATCTGGTATCTACTCGATACTGAGTCAGCTAAGCTTTGACATGCAGTAGATTAATAATTAATTATTTAGTGTTATAAATGATTTTTTTTTATGCATATACAATAAAATTTAGATTAAAAGAAAGTCAAATTCAATTCTAAGTCTTAATTAATAGAATCAAAAGAACTTAATCAATTATATCACTCATGCGAGACAGCATTATGAATGATCTACAGGAATGATTTGGAAACTTTATGTTGAATAATATTAATGTTTTCTAAATATAATATCTTAATTGATATTTAGTTATTACGTTACTCAAGTTGCAAAGAATCTAAAGATGATAGATGTCACTGCGTCTCAATGTTAACTAAAAAAAATTAGTGTTCTTCATGAGATTTTTTTTAAAAAATTCTTAAAAGAATAATCCCAACATGAATATGATCCGAATCCATTTTGGCGAGCTATTGAGTCTTAAACATGCAACGTATATTTCCTTAACCACAGACAAGGAATGTGTGAGGAAGGTATGAATCTGAGTGTTGCCATATATGTATTGGTATTTAGTAAATATACACTCATTATTTATAGACACATGGTTATGGGCATTTTGACACTCGTTCTTGTACCAAAATTATTGAGTGCTTCTGCCATTATTGGATTCCATTGGTTTACCTTGTTCTTGTTTTCAACCAAATTACAAGAAGCAATAATAATCACTCCTAAAGCTAGCAAATGTTATCATGATGAGATAGGTGTGTAAAGTATTTATTAATTCCATTCATGATTGGAAAATTTGTATTAATTATCTTTAGTGAGTCTTTTTTTTTTTTCTTTCTAATTAGGTTTTTAATTTTTATTCACAAGATTTGAATTTCATGTATTTGTAAAAAAGATAGAAATGAATTTATTGTTGCTCGCTACTCGATTGTAATAAATAACTAATCAATAACAAGAAGTAATCATGTCAATATTTAAGAATTTGATATATGAAATAAAATTAAAAAAAAAGAAAAGAATTTGATATATTAGACTAGTGTTTTAGTTATCATTATTACCAGTTTTTGGCATGATGTTATTACTACTTAGTAACAACAACAAAAAATATTAGGATGGGTCTAATATATTTAAATTTGATTATTTGAATTGTAATTTAAATGGATAAAAAATAATAATAACAACAAATAACAGGTACACGTGCAGCAGACAAGATTGACAGTGGGAGACACCAAAGTTCATGGCATGGGCAATTGATAAATGACATAAGTGATAGTTAGTCCAAGAGAATATGATTTTGCAAGATCTATTGCGGCTCGAGAGTGAGATGAAGCACATGTCATCGTAGATGTAACTTGCAACAACTTAATATATGCTTGAATTTCCAATAATTCATTACGTTAAAGTTATAACAACTAATTAAATGAACCTAAATAAATTATTTTAACATTTCTTTAAGGGACTTTTAATTTAAATATTTTTTTTATACAAATTGAATCTTTATTAGCAGCAATATGTCTTTTTTTTTTTTTTGATGTTGCAAAATAGAAACAAAGAAATCACTAAACTATCTTGTAACAATAAGGAAGCTAGAGTGAGTAAAGGCTAATACCAAATAGAAAATAGTGTGGGGAAAGATTATAAATATAATCACTTTATATAAGAGTAGCACATAATTAATAATTATAGGGTTAGACTTTTCTCGCATTGTATAATCACAATGGACAATAAAATGAATAACTTTTATAAAAAATATAATGGAAATATAATAGTAAAAATAACAATCTCACAAATATTATGATTAAACATTTTTTTATATTGCATTTAAAAGGATTTTCTCTTTCACATAAAAGTGAGATTAAACTTATCTAAAAATTTACTTTTTTATTTTGTTTCTCAAAGGATGATCTATAGAAATGAAAATATGCATAATTTTTATGGTCAACATGCATAATAAAATAGATTATTATAATTTAAGAGAGTTTTTCTCCTTCTCTCTTTTTTTTTTTTTGATTTTTTCAAAATCTCTTGTATCTTTTTTTTTTTTTTTTTTTTTTTTTTTTTTTTTTTTTATTTTCCCTTTTTTTTCTCTCC